TTGAATGTCAATGAGAAACCGCAGCTTTTGGCTAAAAGACGACAGGGGCTGATAGCGCTCCGTTATGGTTTCGAGAAGGTCATTCACGCGAATTGCAGCCTTTGTTGGTTTCGTTGCAGTGACCTCCATGCCATCGTAATCGATTTCTCCGCTGTCCGCAGTATCGATGATATCTTTGTATCGCGCCAACGCAAAGTCCTTCTCAACCTGAAGCCATCGATCATACCAGCCCTGTTTGGTCAACACTTCCCAGGTCATGCCCTTCCAATTGTCATCTGCATATGGATCTGGCATATAGTTCCATGTTTCTCGGATCTCGTTATCAAAGTTCATCAGTTCATGAATGAAGTGGCTGAGCAATTGAGGGTAGTTTGAGATTTGAGGGAGGAACAGGCTGATCTTCTCTTTCAGCATAGGAAGCAATGCAGTAATGTAACTATGCGACGCATTGTAAAAATTCCATTCCAGACTTGGACCGACTGCTTCAGCCCTTTCATCGAAGATAGGCTGCATATATGAGACGAAAAACCCGCCGAATTGGTTGACAAGGTCCATTATGTGCGAGAGGAAATATTCCGGCTAGAACCCAAGTTAGACTTCTGTTTCTGCGTAGATTTAGGGCGACATTACCTTATCAAGTCGGTTTGTTGGCTTGTCTCCACTAAAATGGTATTTGAATCGGAGATCCAGATGATGCACCATAACCTCTAATGGGAACAGGACTGGTGGCTCAAAACTCGGTCCGGAAGCTAGTGCATCACGGCTTGGAAGTTCACTAAAAGAAAAGTTGTTAGAATATGCATACAGACATAAAAGGACTGATCATACGGTAATTGCAGGTCGATCAACAGTTCAACATCTTGCCTCCACCGGGCTAAGAGCTGGTCGGTAAGGTTCAGTTGTCTTGTGGGCCATTTCATCTCTTCCAACGTCTTCTGCAGTCGATCACCGAAGTATTTCTTCATCTGTTTTCTCAATGCAGAGGCTAATTTGTCTGTGTAGTCGACAAGATGGGGGGCCGCTCCCTCGGCAGCAGGCTGGGCATCCTTCAGTAGTCCGACGATGGTTCGTAGTCGGGCATACGGCTTCAAGGCGGCGCGTGGTTCCGAGGCAATGTCTTCCAAAGCTTGGTTGCTGTACTGCTGTCTCAGTATCCATCCCTCATGTTTGGTGAATGTGGCATTACCTCAATTCCTCGGCTTCCTTGAGCAACTCTACGTATCCCTTGGATAATTCAAGCCGCTGGAGCTTCTCCATGCTCGTTTCCAGACTCCGTACCGCCTCATCACTGGTTTCGGATTGTGTGATGGCCATTAATCGTCGGTCGATGTCCGCTTGCTCCGCGGTGAACGCCTTGGCTTGCTTTCGAGTGGCTTCAGCATGGTCGTTGGATGCTTTTGTCGCATTTGAGAGCGCTTCGCTGGCTTCTGCTAGCTATTTTGCGAGTTTGCATCAGCCGTGTTTAGAGAGAAGGGGGTGAGGGGCTGTACCTGTTTCCGTTGAAGCTCCTGTTGCGCGCGTAGACTGGATAGCAGCGAATCTAAACTCTCCAGATCGGCAGAAACCTGAATCTTGTCATTTAAATAATCTTCAACTCGAGTCCGCTCATGCGAAGATAATTCCGTGAGGGACGCCATTGTTGAAGGAGGAAACTTGACTGCGGAAGCGCAAGGTGTCGCGAATGTTGATCTCCGCCTTTTGGACTGACGTCTTCCGCAGTGACGACCAGCTCTTACACTATCAACAACTTGAAATAATGCCCAGTCCAGCCAAGAAGCGGAAAAGAAATGGAGATTCATTGCCCCCGGAGCGCAGTATTAAGTCGTTCTTTACTGGACAAACCACCGAGCAAATCAATCTAAATGTCCCCCATGTCACTGAGCAGACTCTCTCCGATGAAGCTCTTGCGCGCAAGCTACAGGCTGAGTGGAATGAGCAGGAAGATGCAAGCACTCCTACCGAAGATACACAAGCAGATCTGCAGATCAATCCAGCACCATTTACATTCGACTCGCCTGTTTCAACCCCGGTAGTACCGGCGATACCAAAGAAGAGCACGCTCTCACTACAGTCATCAGCAGGCACGGAGGATACAATATCCCTTGCCATTCCTCTGGATCAAAGCCCCCAGACCTTCGATGCGAGTCAATGCGCAGCAGAACTGCGGTCGCATTGGGCAACCGAAGGCGGCGATGCTTCTTATGCTTTATTAACGAGGGCCTTTGTCCTGGCGAATGCGACGACTAGTCGAATAAAGATTGTCGATACGTTGGTCAATTTTCTTCGTGTTCTGATTGAAGGGGACCCATCGAGTATCCTGCCTGCTGTGTGGCTGGCAACCAATTCCATATCACCTCCGTACGATGAACTAGAGCTAGGCCTGGGGGGCTCTTCCATCTCCAAAGCGCTAAAAAAGATATACGGTCTCAATAACCAAGGGCTCAAGGCCCTGTATGATAAGCATGGCGATGCAGGAGATGTTGCATTCGAAGCCAAAAAACGACAATCATACACTCTGGTGAAGCCGAAGCCGTTAAGGATCAAGGGAGTATACCAATCACTGAAGAAAATCGCCACTAGCAAAGGGCCTGGTAGTCAGGAAACCAAGCAGAGGATCGTTGAGAAGCTTCTACAGGATACCCGCGGCGCCGAGGAGAGTCGATACATTGTCCGCACATTGGTCCAGAATCTGCGAATTGGTGCTGTCAAAACTACGATGCTGATTGCTCTCGCACGAGCTGTCTTGTATTCCAAGCCAGTCGGGGCAGATTTCGAGGTCCGCCAGCCACATCAACTCGCACGCCTAAAGAAGGACGAACTTGCAGAAATCTACAGTAGTGCGGAAGAAATCGTCAAAGCTTCATACGCTAGACATCCTAGCTACGATGATTTGGTGCCCTGCTTATTAGAGATCGGGCCCACGAAAGAGCTTTTGGTCAGATGCGGCCTATCCATGCACATTCCACTAAGGCCGATGCTAGGCAGCATCACACGCGATCTGTCAGAGATGTTGACGAAGCTCCAAGGCCGAGACTTTAGCTGCGAGTACAAGTACGACGGGCAACGTGCACAGGTCCACTGCGACGAGCAAGGGAAAGTTTCTATCTTCTCGCGGCATCTTGAGCTCATGACGGAGAAGTACCCAGATCTTGTCTCCCTGGTCCCACAAATACGGGGAGAAGGCGTTTCCAGCTTTATCCTAGAGGGAGAAGTAGTTGCCGTGGACCGCGAGGCTGGCGATCTCAAGCCGTTCCAGGTCTTGACCAATCGTGCAAAGAAGAACGTTGAACTCGGAGACATCAAAGTCAATGTTTGTCTTTTCGCATTTGACCTCATGTATCTCAACGGCGAGCCTTTGCTAGATCGCCCCTTTCGCGAACGCCGCGAACTACTTCGCAGTCTCTTTGTAGAGATTCCAAACCACTTTGGCTGGGTGAAGAGCATGGATGCAACATCATCGGATTCAGAGTCCGTCCTTGAATTTTTCAAATCTGCCATCGACGTCAAGTGCGAGGGCATCATGGTCAAACTCCTCGACAACGAGCCCAGCACAAATAATAAAGCCAACAACCTCAACGAAACAGCTTCAACGACCGAATCCAAAGAAAAACCCACCCGACGCAAACCCCTCCTCTCAACCTACGAACCAGACAAACGCCTCGAATCCTGGCTCAAAGTCAAAAAAGACTACAGCACCTCCTCCGAAACCCTCGACCTAATCCCGATAGCCGGCTGGCACGGCCAAGGCCGCAAAGCAAAATGGTGGTCCCCGATCCTTTTAGCAGTCCGCAACCCAGAAACCGGATCCCTGGAAGCTGTAACAAAATGCATGTCCGGATTTACGGACAAATTTTACCAAAGTCACAAAGAAAAGTACGCACCAGGTAGCACGAACGTCATCTCGCGGCCCAGCTACGTCGAGTACCACGGCGAACCAGATGTGTGGTTTGAGCCATGCGAGGTGTGGGAAATGGCTTTTGCGGATATCACGCTTAGTCCTACGTACCCGGCTGCAATTGGGTTGGTTAGTGATGAGCGAGGGTTAAGTCTGCGGTTTCCGCGATTTATTAAGATTCGGGAAGATAAATCTATTGATGAGGCTACTTCGTCGGATTATCTGGCGTTGCTGTGGCGGAAGCAGATGGAGCGGACTGGGGAGGTTGAGGGTGATGTCTAGAGGGAATGGAGTAGAGAGCTTATTAGCTGAACTAATATGCAGGTACATGTATTAGATATCTACTCCGTTCCTACCTCTAATATCATCACGTGTGACTCTGTCTGATTGGCTCAAAGCTTCTTAAACTGCAACGCGAAAGTGACGCGAAAAGACGCGACAGGATTGGACATGAAAAAATGAGGGGTTGGCTACGTGGTCCAATACAGGTTCGCAAGGTAAGCAGGAAGTGAATGTTAGGTTGAGATGGGGTTAAAAAGATACTCTATATGCCGCTCTAGGGTAATCCAAATTTAGATTAGATGTGTAGTATCTGAGGGTATTCTAGGCCAATGAGATGAAAAAAAGGGGAAAGGTGTGGGGGCTGAGGTATATATTCTCAACATATTTCCAATTCGTCTTATAGACAAGAGACACGCAGAAGCATTAAACAAACTCATCAGAGGTATGCTGGGATCCAGGGTTTCACAAGACATGGGTGCGAAGAAAAAGAAATAGGAGCCAATAGTGTAATTGCCGAGGGCAAGAAAAGACATAGAAAAAAGCAAGACATATAGTCTTGATGAATGAGAGGTAATGCAAGACATGATAGTAAAGCATTTGAAAAGACAACGCCGGTGGATGCAAGTCCGGGGAGAGGCCGTCCCAATCGAGACTCAGGTCCTCGAAAGAGCGAGCCTCTGCACTGCGGAGAGAGGGCAAATTACATAGGGGATGAACACAATGTGTACATAACATGATCATAAGAAAGTCGTCAACGGTGTTTAAGAGGGAGGTAAGGCAAAAATGAACAGAGAAGAGAAAATGGTGGGAGAAACACTAGGTTTCATGGGTGCAATTCGCCGCCGAGTTGTAACGCCAACCCCGTTTCCTTGCGAATGCGAGGGCTGGAATTGCTGGGAGGAACCAGGGCATCGAAGTTCAATCGTTTTCGGTTGCTGGTGAGCGGCGTGCGAGCAGGGTTGCGTGGGGTGCGACCATCCCAGGTTGGTTGCGCTGGGCTAGGGGTGACATTCACGAAATCTGCAAAATTGAATTGCTGATTCGGTGTGCTGATATTGGCAAATATGCCACCGCCCAGTGTCGGTGTCATGCCTGGCAGTACTGCGTACTGGCTGGGAGGAGTGGAAGGTGGAAAGGCCTGGTGTCCGTTGCCCCTTGGAACCCGGGCGGGGGTCGGGGAGTTGGCAAGGTATAAGAGCAAATCTGCGCCATCCTCATGGTTTGGGGGCTGGTTGCGGGACGATCGCATGTGTTTTGGGGGGAGGGGTGCGTGGAGGGGAGGAGCCTACGACCGAGCTCATGGCCTGAAAACTGTGTAGCGGCAAGTCGGGGTCGATCTCTTCCGACGGTCGAGGGTATACAGGCGATGACATTTCTGGTATTGTGGCTTCGGACATGAAGGGGGCTTGTGTGCGTCGGGTCGGACGGTGTCGGTTCATACCAGGCGAGGATTCGGGCAGCCGGTAAGAACTCTTCCACGAGACCCGGGGTGCCTTGGCAGGACGTTCAGAATCGGAGTCAGATCGTAGACGCTTTCGACTGGCAGACAGCATGGGCTGCATGACTCGAGAATTGAAGGTGGCAGCATGTTTATTGCGGGCGGATCGAGGAAGTTCCTTGGAATAGGTGGAGGCTTGGAGGGGAGGGGAGGTGAAGGGGGTTTCGCAACGACTGCGTGAGAACTCGGATGAAGAGTCAGAAGGCTTGTCACTCTCGAGAACGGGCCTGCCATCCTGTTGGTTCGGGTTCAGGCCATGCAATCGACCGTGTTGGTACTTGAGTTTGGCAAGGCCCAATCGATCCTGCAGACTAAGAGAAACCTGTGTGAAGAGAATCCAGGGTCAGTCCCACATCGCCAACAAGATCATCTTGGAAGTATTCGGATGCAAGTATTTAGACTAACAGCCAAGACTGCATCTCAAGGGATCTGCCTTTTTTTCTCGATCTCTTACCTGGGCGATATCGATTTTGCGGATCGTTTTTTCTGCCGAGCCTGGCTGCGATAGAGGCATTGTGTCAGGAGCCCAATAGAAAACGAGACACCTGCAAAAAATCAAGACGTTTTCGAAGAGTCGAGGTTGGGGTGTGAGGAGCAAGGGCGAGAGGGAAGGGAGATTAGCGAAATGCGGGAAGTCCGAGAACAATCCTGGAGAAGCACTTGAACAGATTGGGACAGCTGAAAGAGGCCAATTTCTATTCGCTACAACGGACATTGGGAAGAACACTTTTGAATTTTCTCTTTAACTGTGCATTTCTTTTCTTCCATCTCTCTAAATAATTCTACAGAGTAATATTGTTGCCACGTGCGGAGACTACATGTAGTCTACATAATCCCGTTTAATTACTCTATTCTATGAACCAGATCTCTCAATCTCTCATTTTACCCTTTTCTAGTTTACAGTCTACTTCAAAGAATAATATTTTGCAGAATTCCGGGATCCCCATAGAAACCAAGACATGCAGCCACAAATTCCGATCCACCTGAAAGAGAATGAAGTCTCTCCCAGTTATGCTCTAGATCGCCGGATGCATGTTATATAGTCTAACCCTAAGAATAGGAGAAAACAAGAAAACAAGAAACCCTATATTCTAGCTATCCACATAGACAATTACTCAATTCGGCTGTAATTAGCCATATAAGCTCCATTTGGAACTCTCTTAGATTAGCCACGTAAGTAGTTTCACTCAAATATGTAGCATAACGTCAGGAAGCCTAACTACCTGAAACGTAGAATAATATAGAGACATGCCGGTGTGGTCATAGGGTATGTGAGAGCTCTCAGAGATCTAAGCTAAGGATATTAGCGCGATCAGATCCACAGTGAAACATTACGAAAAGGGTTTGAGCTGAACTGAGATAAGAATAATAGAGGGCTTGGGGAGATTGAGGGTACGTAATGGCCGATGGCTTTTTTAAAGTGATCTAAGTATAGTGCTCCTTTATTTTTTTTGGAGCTAAGAGGGGGAGGCAATCTCTGATCTTTAGAGCTTTTTTTTTTTCTTTCAACTCAAATCACTTGGATTAATTACTATCAGAATTCATCCCCCTTTCCCCCTAATCTGGTGACTTGCGGGGCGACTCGTCGTCAACCGCAAACGGTTACCCTGTTCCTGACTATTTACCCTTGAAAAAACACAGCTCCATCTTTCCTTCTTCTTCCAACATCGTCATGCCGTTCTTCAAAGACCTACGGCGTCGATCAAGGGCAACTTTTCACAAGACTCCATCTCATAGTGTGGAGGAGGTCTCCGCAACATCATCATCCACCGTCGACACCTCCTCCAACAACTCCGTCACTCCACCTTCATCGATCAAACCAACTCTTTCCACGCCCAGTCTACCTGCTCTCAATGAATCCGAAACAAGCAGCGCAGTCAGTACTCCAGTGGTCCCACCTACACAGCGACCGGGCCATCTGGTCGGTTGTCAGCGAAACAGCGTGATTGTACGTACCCCGTAGTCATCTCTGACGACTAATCATACTGACTCCAATCGCTTGACAGGGTAGCAGCTCGTCCTCAGTCAATGGCGTGTACCGATCACAAGCTCCCGTCTCGCCTTATGGCCCAAGAGTCGTATCGGTGGCTGATAATTCATGGGTATGTTTACCTGGGCATTGGAGAGCACATAGTGTTCTGTGGTGGGCTAAAAGGTGTCTAACTATCGTGCAGGTCAATCAGAAAGTGCTGCTAGTGTATGGTCAAATTGGAGACCCGAGGCAACATCCACTGGACGGAAATGTCACCGTCTATCACCACCAAGATAATTTCCCGTCGACCGGCTGGCCCGTCACGGCATCGCATTTCAAAGCCCTCGTTCATCTAGTTCCCGGTCCTAATCGCCTTCGCTTTGACTTTGTGTCACCGAAATTGTCCACGGGCAGCACCCACCCCGCCATCCACTCCTCCTGGATTTGTATCAACTACCTTCCATTAGTCAACAATCCACCATTGCAGCTAGTGATCCTACTAGGGAAAGATTCAGATGGCACATACGATGCAGTACCGGAAAGGGTAGAGCGCGAAGGAAACGGGCTGGAAATGGCGATTCGAAAGTACCGCATGGCAGCCTATCTCTGGCAGGCCTTTACCGGTGAACAGATGTACCGCAATAATTTTGGGCGTCGTTGTTTCCGATTCGAGGAAGAGTGGCAGTCTGGTAGCTTGAGCCGTCGTGACTTGGCCCAAGGCCTAATGCGGAATGAGGCCAAGATCCACGTAGTCCGCACTGAGAAAACAGTGGCTGAACTTCGAGATCTCAACATCGCCCAGCAGAACGAGAAAGCCGAAAAGAAACACGAATTGTTCGCCATTGCTAAGGAAGCGGTGCGAAATCATTTCCAGCCTCAGCCTGGCCAGAAGCAATACGTCTCCGTTCTTCTCCTCGATTCTCATTGGGATACCTCATCCCAATTGATCACCGGTCATGCGGCTTTAGGTTCGGCCGACGATGATATTAAAATGGCCATATTTGGGTCACATTGCCTCCAAGGCTATCCATCGTGTCTGGAAGAAGTTGTGGATGCGTTCTCCGACTGCACCCGCACGGATACGAACCACGTTGCCAATGACTGTGGCGAGGCGGGCTCCAACTGGGAATCAGCAAACCTAGGCATCGGGGCTCACCTGCACGAGGTAGGTCATCTCTTCGGATGCCCCCACCAGGAGTCGGGAGTCATGCTTCGCGACTACGTGCGTTTGAACAGAACATTCTTGACCCGAGAGCCTTTCTCAACACGCACCAAGGCCCAAGGGTTGAAGGTGTGTTTGCCCAATGACGAGTGTAGCTGGCATCGTCTCGACACGCTACGCTTCCGATTCCACCCCAGCTTCCGACTCCCAAGTGACGCTTCTCCCACTTCGGATGATAGCGTCCAGGTGTGGCCAGTTGAGAACGGCAAGATATTGTTCACTGCTTCGTCGGGGATTGCATTCATGGAGCTGTATGCCGAGGGTGATACCTTCTGCCACAACTTCATTGAGTACTTGAACAGCGAATCAAGCCCCAACGGACTGCCACGACAAGTTGCGGTGACAGAGAGCGAGCTTCGCCAACGTGTGTATGGCACCGAAAAGGAAAAGAAGAAGAACATTCGACTAGTGGTCTACTCAGGTTCGCTAGGCAGCTACACTGTTGAGAACATCGGTGATCTGAAATCGAAAAACTCTCTCGTCAAATTGCCCAAAAGCCAGTCTGGCTACAAAAGCGGCAGATTAGGCCAGTCGGCGATGGAAGGCAGTGAGCCAGAGGAGTTGTTACTGGAATGTGCTTTCATCAAAACAAAGCTCTTGACATCGATCAAAGTCTACCACGGCTACGCAGTGGACGGTATTGAGTTCTGCTACGAGGACGCGACCAGTCAGCTATTTGGCAAGCGAGGAGGCAAACCTGGTGGTGATGAGTTTGTTCTTGATACTCGACGCGGTGAGATTCTGCTTGGGTTCTACGTCCGGGCTGGTCTCTGGATTGACGGAATCGAGATTCTCACGAGTCTGGGGAGAAAATCCGGTATCTATGGAAATCCCGCCGGTGGCTCAGGGTATGTATTTTCTTTACTCGCAATGTTCGAAGCATGCTAACCAATCTCGAACAGTCACACTTTAATACCTCCTTTGGGCTACAAGATTGCTGGAATCTCTGGCTCCTGCGCATCATGGGTTGATGGATTCTCCTTGATCATCCAACACTGATAGCAATTCGCTATCCCACAACTTTCATTCTCCTCAGCTCTCAAAGCTCCTCACCCCCATTCCCATGCCTCGAAGCTAGCCAAAAAGCCGGCTAGCCATTGTACAGCATGGTGAGCTGCGACTGACTGCAGGACATCCTCATTCATCTCTGAACGGCTACCAAGCTTTACTGCATATTCGTGCATTTTCTTACCCTCTTTTCCTCCCTAATCTGGGAACGGGCAATTCCGCGGTCCAGAGCCGGCCCTCAGCCACTACATACATGAGGTTCTGTCGGATTTTGTCCGTGTCTATATGTTTTCTTTTGTTTTTGTTTTTTTCACACATCGGCGTCATGGGCGTGTTAGGGTTGCATGTGTGCATGGTGATATTTTCTTCGACCTTAGATGCGGTCGATACAGGTTCCCGGGGCACTACACTTACTGGTAATCATTGAGCACACCGATGGCCACATGCCACTACTGGATCATTTTGTAAAGGGGTACGTCATCCATATTGAATAATTCATAGAGGTAATATCATGAAACCATCAATGTTCGAGAATAGCGATCCCAATAGTAAATTAACGCCAACCATGTAGGACTTTGAGACAATCCTACAACGTTATATAGGGTGGCTGTTGAGCAATGGTATGTCAGGAGTTATGTACTCTCCTAAGCAGATATACACATTTAACAATACTGTTGAGACAGATACATTGATGCCTTGTTTGTCGGGATTCTACTCTTCTTGTGACTTTGACCACTTCGTACATGCTACTTAGGTAAGTACCTAAGGGTAGTTAGTTAGCTTGTGTTGTTTTCCCTTACATTTGAATTGAGCTAATAGGTATTTCGCTGGTTGGTTCCTTCTTCGGGTCTCCCCACACATAGCGCACGTAGTATTGGATTCTTCCGGCAGTGCGTTCGAGGCAAGCGGTGCAGTATACGTCGGCCGAGTATGACATATATTAGACGATCCCATCTCCCGTTGTTTGCTTGTAGAGAATAAAGAACCGTAGCTCTGATGTCAATTACGGTGTTCATCACACTTTGACGTCAAATTGCCTCTCAAAAACAAAAATTACCCCTCACGCTGACAATCGTTATTCGTGGAAAATATATGTACAAAGTACTGTCCTTGTGGAGGAAGTCTAGATTTGGTTTATAACTGTACAATGTACAGCCAGGTCAATAGATCTGCGGAAAAGTCACCCATGACCCTTAACGTAACCCAGAGCCATCACAAGTATATTATGATGTCGTCTACATTTAATCTAAGCGGCTGTGTTAGCCGACCAATCCGGGCGAGGATCGTTCTCCAGTTGTGGGGTGATATAAGAGACGGCAAAATGTAGCATCACCAATCTTTCGGGACAGAGCTCGTCATATCGGAACCTCACCGGGGTCGGCCCGGGGCCCGGGGAAATTTGTGGTGATATCCGGAAAATACAACCAGACCCAATAATGTGAATTAGAAGGCGTCATAGAGTACAACAATACATTAGTATAGCGATATTCAAGTACGATGAACATAGGGATATCTATGACCGCAGCAGATCAAGCAGCTAGCCAATGAACCTTTGAGGTTTCTTACCGAGGGTTTAGCACATAAATACGAAGTGATATGCACAAAGATACTATGTACTACATCTCATTGATGTTTAAATTGAGCAAGTGGACACCCACGGACCATTGAGAATGAAGGAAATGCTTGTAATGTGAAGCTGCGTAAGCTGTGCCGTGTGGCATTTCATGTCTCAAAGAGCTGCGGATGCCTGAAACCAAGGTGGCAAGACCCTTTGTTGGCCTAACTGGCTATACAGCACGCACCACCATAGACCCGAGGTAGATCGGCCCTCTTTTCCATTGCTGATCCTCGATAGACATAATTAACTTACTTTTTTGGGGGAGGTTTCTCTTTTTGTCTATCGCCGGTGGATTCGGCTAGGGTGGATAATTCAGCCGCTTACACACTTCATCCCCACCACTCACCACTTGGCCAGGTCCCTGTAAAAAGTACTTCATTTTTAAGAGAGGCTCGATAACTATTGTACCCCCGTGTGGATGATGTAACCGATCAGCACTATAGCCCAACGTACATTGTACTTATTGTGGCTGAGCAGCTCCTTTCCCCAATTCCTCCATTAAATCAAGATCGACCAATAATCGTTCGTCTATCCTATTCAGCAACTGTTTCCGATTGATTCTTGGATTCTGATAGATGGTTGTCGTTACACTTCACAATTTTTTTGGGGGGGGGGGGAATTTTTTGGAATTTCTTTTTCCTCGGCTGTAGATGTGGCCTTCCCCCTTAACATAACTCCGAAATCGTCCCCTTATGACGATGTGGCTTTCATAGCTATCATGTAGCATAGTAATCTGGCGGAGGAAAAGCCGTTACATCAAAACTTTAACTGGACCCTAAGGGTGATGTAGGTGGAGAGGGCGTTCAATTATTCGCATTAACTTAGCGTGTTTATTGTACTCCATACGGAATGCCTGGATAGTTGAATGTTCAAATCCCGGGGTTGAGCAGATATACCTTAAACTAGTAATTTACATAATTTACAAGTTCGGAAGTGGGTTCATGGATTCCGTGCTTTAGCTGCAATAACTCAAATTGAAAAGTACGGAATACAAGGTACGTACTCCGTACACATGTCAGGGTAGCATGTATTTTTACAGCACGTGCTCCGCTGATCGTCGAACAGTAAATTGAGCAATATTACTGGTGGCTGCTCCTTCCAGCAAGTAACTCTTTTGACCGATTCTGTTTTGACATGGTATGTGGCTGTATTTTATTGTATTAATGCCACATCCTACATTCCGTACCGCCAAGCATATAAATCACACAAGCTAGATGGTAAACAGGTACGTATGTGTCCAAAGTAGTAGACAATGGTGAATGCAGTTTTTGCGCACTATAAGAGGAGAACCACTCGCTCAATTCTTGGGTCGTGAGCCGGGAGAGACCGAAGGCCGGAAGAGACCGAAGATGAAGTCATCAAAATTGAATGTTTGGTAGGCACTGATTCAACTGACAGATCTCTGCGGGCCCAGCCAATGGATTCCAATGGGAAAACTTATGATTAACCCAACAATATTTTGGATGCAGATCCGGCCAGCCCGGCCACCTATCAGGCCTAGATTCGTAGTTCCACACTCCTTCATTGTGGCTGAAATATTTTGTATGTTGTGCAATGTGTATCGGAGTATGAGGTCAGACTTTAGATATGTGGCTGTGATATTGATGCATGCGAAGTCTCGAACGATGAATGATGGTTATACTATTAGGCCAAGGCTATAGACGTTACAGCATTATAATCATGTACATATAATCCTTAATTGTATATCTTTACGGCACGCAGAATCACCATTCTACCTGCCCAGGCGAGTAAGTTACATTACCTAATAACAGGAAAATATTTCCCTGGCTATTCTGATTTGTTACGTAGTATGAGAGTCGTGTTCCAAAAATATACATCTTCTGATGCCACGGATGCCCTATATACGCATGTCTAGAAAGGGCAGCAGACGTTATTATATGCTAGAAACCGGGGGAGCATTGATCACATCGTGTCAGGTGGATACGGTGTCACATATGAAATGTTTCCTGCTAGACCGAATAAAAATTAGAGCAACTGTGATATATGTATATTAGCTATGAATTGTACGGAGTACAGCTATATGAAATACTGGAGGCGTAACATTGAAGCCATCACGAAATACGGAGTATAGTATACGTAAATTTACACTTTGCTTTCACTTTGCTTTGCTCCACTTTGGCTGCAGAGCTTTCCGTGGCTCGCCCTTTCCAAGGTGCTCTCCATAATTTATTCCTGTATGAACCAATGACGTTATTTATAGCAAAATATATTGTAGAAATTGAGCAGTTTGTCCATATGAGGAAAGTTCTTTTCGAAGAAAAAAAAAAAAGAAAAAAAAAAGCGCCTCTTGCCGAAAGTGGCCCCCTGTTATCAGTTTCTCGGTGGCGATAGCTTTCCTTCTCCCGAGGTCACTACACCTCTGAAATCTTTCGAGCACATCTAATGCCCCCCTTTTTATGAATGTCCACTGTGGCTCAGTGGATGACAGTTTTGTGGGATCCCTTATAGATCGTTCATTGGAGGGCTTCATTGACCGTACCATCCTTAACCATTCTTTTTCGTTCTCCATTCTCCCCTCCCTTAAAACACAATCGTCATCTCCCCTCCCTCACCCCTCGTCTATCCGAAATACATCATTTCCTCCAATCTCTTATAAGAACCTTAGGGAAACATACTCCGGTACTATTTTCAAAAAATAGTTTTGGATCACCCTTTATTTACCTTCTCCATTTTGATCTAGTTCCACCAACTTCCATTTCTAACCAACACGCTTCATTTGAACTTCGAGTCATCTGCGCATATAGAGGAAATTTCTCTCTGATCAAATCTTACACTTGACGCAAGGCTACAATTTCAAAAGTATCGAACACTGCGTACGACATTCGAGCGCTTCCTAATTTCGATACTCCACACCTTGAACCCGCAAGACCAGAAAGAGCACACCAAACCTACTACCAGCGGGCCACAATTTTCTGGTGGCCGTGTCTTATTTCCTTCCTTCATCCTGGGCCAAGCGAAGAAATAGACCCCAATGTTTAACAACCGGTGAGTTGCTACGCTCAAATAGTCAACAGTATAATGGTTTCTAACGTTATCTCTCTGCGCAGGAACAACGCCCAGAAGCCTGATGGTGAATTCATCAGTCGCTTCCAGCAAGCATTCTCAGATATTGTCCCTCGGCGAGACAGCCCAGTTTTGTCAATTGGAGACTCGCACAATGTGAGGGCAGCAGAAACTTTAATGTCCTCGAGGTATGTACATCATGTATTCTGCCTGGTGAAAAGTATAAGTTTGGAACTAACAAAGCAATTTTGATAGAATGGCCGAGAACAACGATGTGAAAATGGAGGGTCATGGTATCAAGTTCCCCCTCACAAACAATGACCGCACTCCCCGAAATATGCATGAACTGGGGTTGACGCCTTCATGGATGGAATCCGCTTCATATTCCATGATGCCTCTTGCCAACCACCACCAAGGCTTTTATACTCCAACTTCTTCCGGAATGGGTGCAATGTTCCATAATCAGGCTGGCGATTTGCATACTCCGACAGGGATGCACTTGGTCAATCCACTCTCGGGCATGTCAGCTGTACACAATCACCACAGCAATGGCTTTGAGCCCTTCCACCCACAGTTCATGAATCCAATGCATGGCATGAACCAATACGCACAGCAGCCGTCATATGCACCAAGCGCATTCATGCACCGTGACACTGGATATGACGCCATGGATGATACCCTCGACGACTCTTCCCTGAATGATGCACATGCCGAAACAGCCTCCAGCATCACGGGCTCTGCGGAATTTCCGGCTCAAATGGCTGGTGACATGTCCTATGCCAATGGCGAAAAGTGAGTTAAATGATTCGATAAAAAGGCGTACATGTTTTCAATTCTAACCGCGTTCTACATTCTAGATTCCGCTTCAATGTTTCTCTACGAGCACCGACCGCAATGGTGAAGAACCAGAGTGAAATCCCCGTGACCTATCTTAATAAGGGTCAAGCATACAACCTCTCAGTTATCGACACAAGCCCCCCAATGGTCAACCACGAACCGCTTCGATATAGAACATTTATTCGCGTTTCCTTCGAAGAGCAAGAACAACGAGCGAAACCATCAACATGTTGGCAACTATGGAAGGAAGGTCGTGGTACCACCGAAGCTCATCAACGGGGCGGAAAATTATTAGCCGTTGAATATGTGGATCCTTTACAAGGAGGCAGTGATGCCCACAGACATCGACAGGTACAAGTCGAGAGTATGTGCGTCGACGGTTTCTGCGTCACTTGGACTGCCAACCCAACGACCGGCGTATCGGATTGCAACATCCCCGTGCGGTTTAATTTCCTTTCCACCGATTTCAGCCACTCCAAAGGTGTGAAAGGAATTCCTGTCAGACTGTGCGCCAAAACTGAGCTTTTATCCCCGGGCGAGGAGACAGGCGTACCGCGTGATATGGAGCTGTCTTACTGCAAAGTAAAACTTTTCCGGGATCACGGTGCAGAGCGGAAGCTGTCCAATGACGTTGCGCATGTCAAAAAGGCCATCGATAAGCTTAAGCAGCAGGTCTCCCAAGCTGAAATGGGTGGTGGTTTTGCGAAGCGCAAACGGGGCAACAATCTTTCTGCTACTGCCAAGGGATCTGACAATCATATAAAGTCTGGCCACAAGCGAACTTGGTCGATGGACTCGGATGATACTCCGCCAGAGAAAGTCTCCTTGGAGGATGATCTCCAAGCCAAGTTATCTATGATGCAAGAGATGTTCTCATCTACTCGCACAGTTAGCATTTTCGGCTTACGCGGTGAAAAATTCGACGATCCCGACTTATATCCTATTCAGCTATTAGGTGATAGCAGTTCCCCTCATTATGGGAATATGAGCCGTTCAAGCACACGTGAATTGGAGACAATGATGCCCTCGCCGCCCAACACCAATACCTCTTCTTCGAATTCACCGCCTACCCAAGCACTCAGATTAGGAAACTGCCCAACTACCGTCCAGAGAATTTCTTCTGGCAACCAAGTCTCAAGGGGTTTCATAGAGGCCGTGGGTGTAGACTTGACCTACCGGCCTCCGGCGGAACGCCTTCCCAAACCGAGTAAGTTTTTCGAGCGCCGACCCTATCGATGATATCCTTGCTAATTTCCTTCGCAGTTGCCTGCTTTTATGTTCGATTCACTGGAAATGCGAAGCGCTCAGAGGACTACTACCGTGCGATCTATTTGACGGAACGCACCGCTCAAGACCTCGCGAGACAAATTACCGAGAAATTTCACATCGATCCGATGCAAATTTCAAATATAACGCATGCCAATGAGAAAGGCATCCGAGTCCTCGTTGATGATGATGTGGTCCGCCATCTTCCAGAGGGTCAAGACATGATCGTCGACATCGAAGCATCAGACCCCAATGGCAGTGCTCCTGGCACACCAGGATCTGCGATTGAGATCAAATTAACCTATTAAACCTGCGCCGCTTACATTCTAAGGCCCTGCCCCCGCCTCTCAAATTCGAAATTAATGCAAAAGTAATTTTCCCTTCAACTCGCCTCATCTCACCTCGCCAGCCACTGTGGTCTCTCTACTCTGGTCTGCGGCAACGCACACGAACTTTCTCATCCCGAGTGTCCCAGTTACACTCCTATTTTCTTTTCATGTTTCCATATATCCCTTGTCAATGGGCCGGCATTCCAAAAAAAAATTCTCTACAGGGCGTTGAACACGGGGATAATAAACGAGTCTCCGAGCAACGATACCCTGTTATATTATGTTTTTGATTTTTGCTATCATTTCGTTTAACTTAGCGTTGCTTACCCGCTACGACGGTATATGAGTCGGTGGGCCATGAAACTGCTGATATCTTTGTTTGTTATGGTTATTATTCCGATCTAATCGAGGGCCAAGCATGCAACGTTGATATCTTGTTCCTATTTATTTATTTTTTTCTTTTTTTTTTGTTGGTTGCTGGTCTTTACCAGCCTTGAGCGTTCGACTTTTTCTGCGATCTCTATCCATGTCTGTGTCTGTGTGTATATGCACGGGCTTTGGATCATTTGATATAGATAGTTGCCTGGGGACGGGATTACAAGTCAACCACATTGACGCAGGTGCAGAATACGATGACCTTGCTACCTCAATTATTATCTTGCATGTAGAACTCATACGTTATCCTATGTTGAGCACAAAGTATCTCTAATTAAGCTCTATCAACCACACTAATAAAGCCATCAACAGCCATCACCCTTGACACCTTCGAAGAGCCTTGGATCAATCATGTTCGAGTTATAAATTGAGGAGCCCTCACGTTAACCGATGATGATGACGTCCAAACTACCAGATCGGGTTGGCCCGTAAACCCACAAAAATAAAGGAAATAAACGCCTTCATCATTTTTATGTCCCAGGAACACGGAACGGACTGTGGCGTTCGCACCCACAAAAAGCCCACAGAACACCCACTGGAGCTAGAACGTCATTATACCCGTCCAAAGTTGGAATCCCCGGTTCCCAGGAACTTGGTAGAGCACGGGCGCTGGAAACTCATTGCCTAGGTGGGCAATCAACATTCCATGGACCGCTGCTTCGGGTTTGTACAAAATCTCTGGTTGGACGAGCCCATTCTCCCCTTGTCAAGCAACCAATATCCACATGGTTTTTGGCTCGGAAACCATGGGGGGTTTTCCATTGGGTCGTAATCTCGGTGTTATCCATATCGAGAGATCTTTATCGACTTTCCAAATCGAGCACACAACCATTTCTAGATCGTATCGTACACGACTCGATTTTTTTACTTTTGCCTCTTTTGTAATTTATGCTTGCAACGCTTGCAACGCTATCGGTTACATAGCTGATGTATGTATCGATTTCTATTTTCCGTGTGATCTTCCATATCACAAGAGGTCAGGTCTGGAATACTAGTCTAGTTGATGAAAAATAAAATTCACCTTCTTTTTCGTATTTGGTCTTATTCCTTTTTCTCATGGAAAGAACAAATCATGTTATGGTTATGTCCATATCGAGTAGAGATGTCCGACCCAAGTTCTATGTGTGCGTGAACTCTAGTACAGACCTCGGAGCAAGAAGTACAGTAACGGTCTTTTTGATATAACATTTTTTTCTTCTTGGTAAGGGAAGCACAATCCCAAGTTTACAACGAACGAGATGGCCGAATACTGGATTGTAAACTACATCGTCCTCCTAAAGTGAAACTGAGCATGCTGAAGTAGCAGCGCAAGCCCAACCATAGAGAACCTATCGAGATCGCCCGTGTACCCTGAGTTATGTTCTTGTTAAATCCTCACGGAGGCTTGCCCGTCTGGGAGTATACTGTCTCTTTGTTCTTGTATATATTCCCTTTGGTATTTACTTCTGAGAAATTTAGAAGTACATTATTGTCGAAAAGATTGCATGTGTTTGATTATATATATTAGTATATATTGGTCGACCAATAATTCTCTTCGAATACTCATCGGAGAATCCCTCAAGGCATATTCTTTATAATGTGCGGTATCATACTATGAGCACTTATCATTCAAAGAGCTGTGAATAGCTGCAGATTTTAGACCAATTCCCCTGGAAGGCATAATTATCGGTATTTGTCTGTATCAAAGACCCTGAAATTAGGGAGGTGTACAATAGCCGATATCCACTTGCTCCATGTGTTGCACAATAGTATGCGTTGAACCTGGTAAGGCCCTGGATTTATTGATATTTGTTTCACCAGTCTAGATATTAATGTTCTCCTTCACTATTTACCACAGATTCCCCTGGCTTACATATGATCCAGCCCATGCTTCTAGTACCTTATAAAAACTCTTATCCTTATTAGCAAATATTGAAAATCTATAAATATCCACGTTTATAGGCCCATACACAATTTTAGCATGTCAATTCTAGAGCATTCCAACACAAGCAATATGATGTCAGACTACGCCCGTTCTTTAGAAGTGGGGCCGAAAATAGATTATTTCCACTTCGGATCGTCCCGTTACGTGACCGCCCCTTCAGGTATCATACTTCGAATTTGAAATACGTCAACGTATGTACAAAGTACACTAGTATTTTTCGGCTAGTAGCCGAGGTGGGCATCCAACGTTCAGATATTGTCTACCACTCTAATGTGCTTAATTGGACTGTTCTTTTCGGAGGTAAATATTTACCGACCGAGGACTCTGATTGGCATTTATCGCTTTTTCTAGTGGGTATTTAGATCTGGCTAGGCCCTGCTTTATAGGAACGTATGCTGTGTCTATAGTACGTATGTAGACGTTGCACATGGTATGTTTGTAGACTTTTAAGCTTTGCACTGCGATAGATTAAAATGAATTTAATCTGGAGTCCACTTAACATTGTGCTTCTAAGGGTTCAAATGATATCCATGGTTGCCTGTGTCGTGATTATGCTCTAATTTCACTTAATAAAATCTTGCCCTAAGTCGTGTCACCATTGCCCCTGACCTGACGGTATATGTATAACATAGACCATCATCCATACTGTTGTAAGGCTGATGTCTAAGTGAAAATAGAATATTGTTTTAGACTTGCTGACAATCAACACCCTCGAGGCTCAAGTGATATCCGACTTCTGCACTTGACTTTCTCGTAGTGTCTGACCTAAATTTAGGTTGTCATGCCAATAATTACTTCAAAGATGATAAAAGTTAGTATCCTTACAATGTTTTGCTGCTTTGTCTTATATTCGAACTTAGTTCAGGACTTCTATGGCCTAACCATAATAGAAAACAGAGCTATATCTGTTTGACTTTGTAGTCTTGTTAATGTGGCACATAGACCATTATTCGTGATACCCCGGCCTCTTCATAGAAACAGTTCTGTTATCCCGACGATCCTAAGGGACTGGTTCTGAGCTTCCCTCTGTGCCAAAGGCAGCTCAGAACCATTATTGTAGCCTGCGGCATGATTCTTCCGAACGAAAACCCCCCGATGTTAGGCAAAGGGCCTTTTTTTGCATTCATTTCAGTCGAACTAGATTTAGACTGTCTCACTCAGGTTGCACCCCTACAGTTGCTGATGCACCTGGTTTAAGGTTCTATTCGAGTCACACATCAAATTATATCCTGTCAAGTATCTTCCCATAGTTGTAAGCCTCAGTCGTGACTTCCTTGTTTGCCTCGAATATGGAAAGAGCATGATCAGAAACCGGCACGTGTTGTCACGAGCAGCGTTCCTTCCTAACCAGGTGCCCAGCTGGTGACTCTGTTTACTATTTCTTCCTCCGGCTTCCCTTTCTCTTTCTCTTCCCTTTCTCTCTTCTCCCACTTCACGTTCGTTTCCCTTTTCCTACTTTGACCCTCGTTTTTCATCGATTGCTTGGTTACTCTATCAAGTCATCACTTTACATTCGTTTATTAACCTCCATCTTCGGCAAGATGGTAGCTTGGACGCGTTTCAAGTTGCTTCTGGCCATGGTCACCACTCTGGTGACCATGGCTGCTGCTGCGGCTGGTACATAACATCGCCCATAACTGGCTGCATTATGACCATCTACTGACTCTGTTGAACAGAATGCCACAACATCGAGTCGGTTTTTCTTCAGGACCCCCACACCGGGGAGCAGTACCAGTTCGGTGAAAGTAAGTCAAGCTCACTGGCTCAGCTTTGCCGTTGCTGATCAATGTTCACAGTCAATGTTTTGCCTCGGGCATTGTTTGGTCGCGCTGTACACGCTGCTGAATTGAGTAAGTACAACCTCGTCATCCTCTATGCGGAGATTTATCAATTCACTTGACTCTTACAGATCAAAAGACTAACTCAATACTAGTCACTGTCACGGTTACCCATACTACCTGCGGTTCTGATGAAGCGACCACAACTGTCACCACGGATGTTCATTGCACCACTGATCATTCTACCACACCCCTCACCACTGAATCTACCACTCCGATCCCGGTTCAGGTCACTACCCCTGCGCCTACTACCTCCTTAACCCCGGTGCCTGCTGCCACTCAGACTTCTGTGCCAAGCGTCCCCCAGGTGTCTACTCAGTCATCTGCTCCGGTCTCCACACAGACTTCTGTTCCCAGCACTCCTGGGGTGACCACCCTATCAACTGTGCCTGCCGGCCCTCACAGTTCCGTTCCTGGAACTACCGAGGTGACTACCCACTCGTCTGTGCCTGTTGTCCCTCACAGTTCTGCCCCCAGCACAACCAAGACTCCTGCGCCTGGCACCACTTTGGTGACCTCCCAGTCTTCTGCACCCGGAACTGCCGAGACCCCAGTGCCTAGTGCTACTGAGATACCCACTGGAAGCAGCTCTGTAACCAACACTAGATCCTCCACGGTTACTGCCACTGAGTCAGTGTCTTCATCTCGTCCTAGTGTTACCAGTGTGGCTCCTGTTCCTGCCACCACTGCTGAGGACCACACCACTTCCACAGTTTCCGGTACTGTCACTGAGGTGACAACAAGTCCCAATGCTACCAGTGTGGCTCCTGTTCCTGTCACCACTGCTGTGGACCACATCACCTCTACTATTCCTGGCACTGTTACCGAGGTGACCACCGAGATAATCTCTTCGCCTTGCCCTTCCCCCTCTGAAGTCTCTTCTGCTTCTGGGGTAACTACTGGGTCAATCACATCATCTCGTCCTACCAATGTGGTTCCTGTCCCCGGTACTACTGGAATTGCTTACACAAACTCAACTGTCACCCAGACTCCTAGCCCTGTGACTAATTTGAGCACTGGTTACACTGCATCTGCATCTTCTCGATCCAACTCAACTGAGCTGGCTCCTATTCCGGTGACTACTGAAATCACTATCACCGTTGAGATTTCTTGCACCGAGATGACCAAGTGTGTCAGCACCAAGGTTCTTACCGCCAGCACCCTGCCAGTCTCGCAGACAACTGTCCCGGTCGTCGCTCCACATGCCACCACGACGACCGAGATTCAGACGACTGCCCTCCCCCCTGTTCCCATTGCCACTGAGCTGGTCACTGCCACGATTGAGATCCCTTGCACTGAGACCACCAAATGCATCAGTACCAAGGTGCACACCACCATCCCTACGGAGACTGCCACCGTCTCTGTGACTCCAATCCCGGTCACAGTTCCTGCTCCACAGACCACCACTGAAGTCGTGACCACTGTCATCCAGCCAACTGCTCCTGGCGCTATTCCACAGGAGACCACCAAGGTTGTGACTACTGTGATTCAGCCTACTGTTCCTGCTCCAGTTCCGCAGGCTCCCACCCACGAGGTGACTACCGAGATCAAGCCGACTGAGTTAGTCCCACTTCCACACACCACCACTGTTGAGGCTACTACTCTGGTCAAGCTTCCTGTTCCTCCTGTTCAGCAGAGTACCACAACAGAGTCCAAGGTTTCTGTTGTGCCTCCCCAACAGCCTACCCACACTCAGAAGGATACTGCCCCGCCGTCTCCTCAGGGTACTTCTTCCAGTGGCACTCACGCCCCTTCTCCTGTTTTCAACAGTGCTGAGGCCGCTGGAATCATGGACAGCCGTCTCGTTACCATGAGCATTTTGACTATGCTCGCTCACTTGTTTATGTGAGGACGCCATACGCTTTTACCGTGTTAGGCAAGCATAGCCATCTTCTACCGTAGCAAGAATGGTACCTGATGCGATGATTGTGTTCAGGATGGAATTCGAGGCACCCAGTTTTGATGGGTGGCCGTTTGTTTTTTTATGGGATGCAACTGGCTCCCCTTAATTTTGCAAATTTTATCAGTGACTCATATTCTAGTTGAAGCATAGCTTTTCTAATTTCAGAAATGTTCACTATCAATTATTTCTAAATGAAGAACTAAAGTATCTTGTAATCTACAATCTACAACCGAATAGAAAGCCCAAGGACAAAAGAGCTGACCGAACAGTGCATTCGGGTAATTATATTTCGGCTGTGAAACAAATATTACAGATAAACAGAACGTAATACGTATGTAGTGAGTAGTGAGTAGCTAAAGCAGTGAACAATAACACGCAACTTTATCAAATGAACAACGGCCAGTGTGATAACCTCACAGAATGGATGAATACTAATATCCCCAACAAATGGGTACAGTAGCTTGGCTAAAAGCCAGGGTATCTCAGAGAAACAAGGAGAATGCATAGGTATGTGCACATGGAGTATACACATAGGACAGACGTGAATGGGTACAGATGTGTCCTTACCCCAACAGAGTTCAAACCTCAACCTCACCACCAAGGGATTCAATATCTCTTGTCAGAGCACAGAGGCGACATCCATCCCCAATCTTATCTCGCAGGATTCTTGCCGTCGTGACTTTGGGGCCAATGGTGCGAGATGCAGTAGCAGATCGGGTTTCGTCGACTGGAGACATGGCTCGAGGTGTGAGGTCTGCAGATCGGTCACGGCTGTTCGCGCCGGATTGTTGCTGTGACGTGTCTGAGTGCAAGTGGGATAGATGGAATATATGACCACAAGCAAAGGCAACGAGTATTTCTCGCTCTATAGCAGGGTTAGTATTAGCATTGTTTTTCCGAGGGTAAAATATGGAATTGGGTTGGGTGAGAATCATACCGTTTGCTCGGAAGGCAGCGTTGCAACCGCCGCATCTTCCCTGTCCAGAACCTCCGAATTTTCTCGCACCACTGGTTACGGATAATTGGTCTTGAGCCTGAGTTTTCGTTGTCGGTGTCTTATTAAAATCTTCGTCTCTGTCCTCGACGACATCGAACTTGATTCCCCGCCGCTGACCTTTGCGCAGCGAGTCCATCCCAAGTGCAACTTCACTTTGCATAACCCTAGCCGCGCCTTGGCTGATACTAGCCTGCAGATCGTGCTCACGGATCAAGCGAGTGAGGCCCTCTCTTAGACCCTCAATCTCTAGCCCGCTCGGGATCCGACGCACGAGCTTTATCGGGTCGATGGCCGTTCCGGCCTCGACAAGAAGACCATGGATGAACTTTGGCTTGTCCATAGAGTAATCAAGTAGATCCTCCCATAGATCAGGATCATCCTGTGATTTTGCAAATGAAATGGCCTGTGAAACATCCTTGAGATCCGATAGAATCAGGTTCAAGGCTCGCTTCGTCTGGCCCATCTTGGACAAGAGGAAAATCAACTCTGGTGTGAATTTGTGGTCTTCGCAGATGGATGTGGCTTTCTCGAATGAGTAAGATATACTTGTTTGGAGGAACTCCATCAGTAGAGGCCGGTCGTAATCGGCAAATACCTCAACGGCTGTATCCGCAAAGTTATCAATCAGGGCTTTGCCTTCATCGGCAGCAAGCTTGCTGGCTGCATCTCGAGCATGAATTCCACGTCCTCTTCTGGGCTTAGAGGCGTCATGCGGTAATGATTCGCCTCGCCAGAGGGCACGGAGATAGAAATAAAGAAACAGAAACCGGTTTGCGGCGATCAACTGTGATACCACGGTTTCTGGAGGAACAATGCCCGTGTATGCCTCGCTTACAAGGAGTCGTGTGGGCTCGGATATCAACTCCTCCAGTTCTGATTTGGTCGCTGACTTCATTTGCTCTTTGGAAACGCGAATCATAATGAAGGCTGGTATATCATCAGTGACTGCATCGAGCAAGCGGTGTTCCCGAACCAAAGCCATAGCAGCATCTCCATCTTGCAATCGAATATAGCAACGCAAGGCTTCGCGGTAATGCCCTCCTACGAGGAATAACTTGGCGAGGCAATCTGTAAGGATTCGCCACTCGTCAGAACCGGCACGCACTGATTCGGATTTCGCCTGTGCTTCGATAGCTTCTGTGACCACATTCACATCAAACAAGTCGAATGGCCATGTTTCAATGAGTTCTTTGAATTTGACCAAGTCTCGTGACACATAGTGGGTGAGAATGACTTCGTAAATCCGAGAAGACAGCGATGGATTTAAGTCGACTGGAATGTGTGAAGTGATCTCGTCGATTTTATCATTTTTGATGAAGGTCCATGCCCAGTGTTCCCATCGTGGGGCATTGCAGATGACTTTGCCACAAATGTTCGCGGCGTCAATCCACTTCTCTTCGCTGACAAGTTGCTTGATCCACAGTTCCCCGAGGCGAGCCTTTTCTTGTTCAGCAGCAGAAACCTTTGTTCGACCAGCCGTCATGATAGATGATCGATCATCGGCAAAAAATTCACCTAAACTGGTTTGGGACCTTCCTGCAGCCTCAGAAATAGCTTCGGTTACGTCGGGTATCGAGCCCGCAGCTTCGGGATGTTTATCGACGAGACGCCATGCGTCTTCGTACTGGCCATGAGAGTCAAGCCAGGACAGGCGGTCTGCAAGATCCCTTTTGACTGCAACAACACAATCATATGGGCTGTGCACAAAGATTTTGGCACCAGGAGCACCGGAAACTTCCTGCACCTCCTTCGGAAGGGCATCCTCAGCCGCGTGGAGCTTGGATATGAAAGAGGGAGCAACTCTACCAGACCCCTTGTCGCCACTGCTTGTGGTACTGCGGATGCTGGCACCGGAGCTAAATAGTCGCGCAGGGTACATAGTAGCATCCAAAAGCCCATACCCAAGAGCCCCCAGGGCACCACGCTGGACAACTTGTCCCTCTGGGGTTTTCCACGGAGGCAAGACACTTAGATGATAATCAGACGCCGAGAGACCTTCAAACCGGTTAATTGAAAGTGTATCGGCGCTGATTTCTTCCTTGGTCTCAATGTCAATGACACGAAGTTCAGGTTCTAGGCCCTTTTTTCGATTCCGGGTCCCACTGCCTCTTCCGTTGCTTGTATTTTCTCCTTCGGTTTCCATATATGCGAGAACGACAAGAAGACGAGGCGTGTACAATGAGATGCCAGATACCACACAATCCGTTCGTAATCTGTATCCCAAGTTAGCGATGAGCGATTCAATCCGTGAGTGTTCCAGCTTACATTGTAACGACCTCCGCAGAGCCCAATTTCTCGCCCTTGGATGATTTGCTTACCCTTTCGGGGTAGACATCAATGACCCAAACAGTTCCTCCCCAGCCGACAACAAGCTTCTCCACTTTCTCAGCGGACCCAGTCGATTGTACCTCTGGACTTGCAGAATTGTCATTTGGATCGAGATTGTCCCGACTGTCTAAAGCAGACTGGTCGAGCCATTCTGCGCGTGCCTTCCAAACACCGGCCATTTCCTCCCAGCCGGGACGATTCGGACGATCAATATGGCTGATTCTTTTCCAGGCAAATTCCGTCTCTGAAGAATCCAGATGCAGATTTGACCGCATAATCTTGATGCCTTCCTCATTGACCCAGGCGACGTATCTCCCTGACAGTGACCATTTAATTGTGCTTATAGTTCCTTCACCGCTGTGGATAATTGTATCTTTCCCACTATTGGATGCCAAGCCCATGGATCCAAGCCAACTTGAGGCTGTGGCAGCCGCACCCCCCATTATTGTAGAGTTGGAGGTCGCTCCAATACGACCGCCAGTTGTCAGGACCAATTCACCCGCTCGGCCACCAGACAGGTATGACCGATCAGTTTTGTACTCTGGAGACAAAGCAATAGACTGAACGGGGCGACCAAAATTGCGTAACAGCACATCCTTGGGGTCTACCAGCGACGAGACACACACGTGGCCGTCGATTGAGGAGGTTCCGATGTAAATCGAGTTCGATGGTATGGGAGGGACGGTTGGGTGATTACTCAGTTTTCCTTGGCCACGGATACTGCCGGTGGTATTAGATGATCGCGTAGATGGTCTGTATTCTTCTGCGGTCTGCTTGCTGAAAGTGTCTTGCCTAAGATTCGGAAGCGGAGGTGGAAATGGCGATATCGATATTGAGGTGACACTTGCTGAGTGTGCATGGTATACACGGAGCGACTGTAAAAGCGGCAAGGACATAACATGCTTGACAAGGTCAGCTCATATGTCTGCGCGCCGGTGTGGCTAACTTACGACATTCCCGTTGTGTGTCCCGACAATCTAGACATATCATTAGCTCATTATATAGTATAGGGTCCGCTAAGAATGCATACCATTTTATCTCCTGCGACGAGAAACGAGCTTGTCGCATCCCCGTTGCGATACACCGATCCCAGGTGCTTCGTCAGGTATGCGTACTTGAGGCGGGGCTCCTCGTCCTCGTCGTCCGAGTCCTCCTCTTCCTCGGCCTCCTCTTCTTCTCCATCATCGCTGCTACTAGAGTTGCTGTCATTGCATCGTTGGTGTCTATCTTGGGCGCCTTGAGTCGTGTCTGTAGGCGAACTGGTTCGTATGGATGTGTCGTGCTTGGGAGTGCTCTGAACGGCACTTTCGTCCGGCGGTGTCGCGCCAGGCGCGTCCATGGCGAATCCCTCTCAGCACCTGCAGCTCCCAAACTGGTTGAAGTGGAATGCGACAAGCTGGAAACGGTGGTTCTTCAGATGAGCCGGGGTAGGTCAGGGCCCGTCGGGAGCTTGGTTCCATGACTAAGCGGGGTATTGGGCCCGTGGGCTGCAAAACGATGTCATCGACCGAGCCACTAAGGTTTTTGTCCCTCAGACACATAATGTTTGCCAGGCCATATGTCTGCTTGAGCTGCACACGACCAGGATTACGGCTTCCTACGCGACCGCAGACCCAATACCTTCATGTCTCTCCTCCATTGGCCCTTCCCCGACGGAAGGACTTCTTCTCATCCAATGCCCACTTGAAACAAAAACAGAACAGCGATGAACCAATTGAGTTCTCTCCCGACTCCCAGAAGCAGCGTCGACGGGGGCCTAGACTACCAGTAGCTCCAACTTCATTGCGGCGAGTAGCGGTAGAGGCACAGAGATCGAAGGATGGCATTCTCTCCAAGGCGCTTCTCAGAGAGCAGGGGTTATATCGGACCAAGGTAGGCATAACTGAGATTTTCTATAATTTCCTTCTACTGATTGTTTTGGTGTTCCTAGACAGTAACCGCCTACGCCGTAGCCGAGCAATTCAACATCCGCCAAGTCAGAGATATTTTACAAGAACGAGGATATGAGCCGGACCCGTTGGAAACAGGACTCTTCCCGCAAGTCGTTCATGTTCAGATACCTTTAGACTCCATACAGCGCATGACAAACCCTTCCAGCACAGGTTTACCATCCGACGAAGTGGGTGATTTATTTGTGTTCCCCTCCGGTACAGTGGTAGCATGGTCGCTCCCAGAAGGATTCACATCATTTCTGGCAACACGAACTCTCTTGCCCGCAGCAGAAGCTCCCCATGTGGATGACTTGGAAACCGAGGACCTCGAATTCGTGGAGGACCCAAAGCGGGAGAACAGTGTGATCAAAGGGGACACAATTATACTAGGGACCAACTCTAGTCATGGAGGTGCAGATGGATCACCATCGGGGCAACAATCCGTCGACACGGTGTTGACCAAGGTTGCATTTTCGTCGGGTCTTGCTCGGAGTACAAAGTTGGCCGTCCTCGAGAGCCTTCTTTCAAATTATTTTGAATCGACTCGGCCAATCCCGACTCTTCTATCACAGGGATCCCGACTTCCTTTTACACGAGACTTTGTCCTCCGCAAGACGGGCCAACTACTCAGTGTCCGAGCGCAGCTCAATCTCTATTCCGAGCTCACTGATTCTCTTCCTGATATCTTTTGGGACAGCCGACACGAGCTCGGCTTGGAGGGATACTACGAGCAGGCTGGCAGAGCCTTAGATGTTGGAATTCGCATCAAACTGCTGAATGAGAAGATGGACTATGCGCAAGAGATCGCAAGTGTACTTCGGGAGCGGCTTAGTGAGACACACGGACTCCGACTAGAATGGATCATCATTCTGCTCATTGCCGTTGAGGTTGGCTTTGAAGTATTACGGTTATGGAAAGAAAGAGTCCATGAACAGGAGGCACGGAAGCAGGAGGCCTAGGATCACCTGCCAGAAATGACAGGCGCAAGCTCGGTGAGATCATTTTGCCCACCGACCAACTATGATACCCCTTCCTGAATTTAAGTATACCCCAATGAACATGTTCAACTTGAAAAGAATGCAATATAAAAGCATAGCTGGCAAGTAAACAAAGCCCAGGTGACTCTTATCAGCTGCCCCCGCGCTTAGTCATATGACTCCGCACGACCTCGAGAGGCGACTACGATACGATCACCTTTGTAGCCTGAATATACTTATCCCTTCTCTGAACACGACCGCCCTAGTACTTGTCTACTTATCTAGTTGTCATATTCTTTCTCTGCGTCAATTTTACAAGTGTGCTCCCTCTAATCACGACAAAAGACTCCCATCGATGATGCGGGGATCATCACAACAGTTTATGGGCTTCCCCGGACCCCAGAAGATCCTCAAGACCTTCGGCTCACTCTGGCTTTCGCAAACTCCAAACGAGAATACACACCCTGGAACTTTGTCATCATGCCCTATCTCGGAAATAAGTTGCCAGGCCAACTACCACGGTCAAGACACCTGCTGTTTCAACTACCCCGGTGGCCAAATGTTGCAGACGCAATTCTGGGATGTCGACCCTGCACTCGGCCCTGAAGATGCATGGACTATCCACGGACTATGGTGAGTTTGTTCCACATCCCCAAGTTGAATGAATATAATACTAACTCTTCAGGCCCGATCACTGCAACGGCGGCTTTGACCAATTCTGCGATTCCGGACGCAAGTACAGCAACATTTCCTTAATTCTAGTTGACGCGGGCCGCGGAGACCTGCTCGAATACATGAGCGAGTATTGGAAGGATTTCCGTGGTGATGATAGCAATCTCTGGCAACATGAGTGGAACAAGCACGGCACTTGTGTCAGCACTTTGGAACCACATTGCTACGAGGACTACCTGCCGCAACAGGATGTTGTGGACTACTTCGACAAAACTGTTGAGGTTTATAAGGAATTGCCCACCCATGAGGTTAGTTTGATTGTCTCGATCAATGACTATATATTGGGTTCAAGCCACTAACCATGCATAAGTTCTTGGCCAATGCTGGCATCATACCATCTCAGACGCATACCTATGCTCTTGCCGATATTGAAGCCGCACTGGAACAAGCCCATGGAAATCCTGTCACTGTCCGTTGCCGAAACGGCGCCATGAATGAGATTTGGTACTATTTCAATATCGCAGGAAGTCTACAGTTTGGAGAATTCATCTCTGCAGGCCCAGGTCGGTTAAACTTCAAAGTTATTCACTCAGGTAGACTACAAGCTTACAAAATGACCAGATGGCCAGAAATCCAATTGCCCATCCAGGGGGATCAAGTACCCACTGAAGCATACTCGGCACGAGCCTGCCCCGACAGCCACAGGTGGTCACCCCGAGCCCACCGCGCCAGGCACTCCGTTTACAGATCGAGGTAACTTGATTGTGTCGAGGCTTGGCAGAAAGCATGGCTGTATCATCAGCTACGGAAGTTGGTTTTCGTCAGGGACCTGTGCGACTTTCCGGGCCGAAAAGATAGCAGGTTCGTAGCTGTGCTTTCCGCGTATGATGCCTCTGCTATTGATTGCTAACATGAAGTAAATGGCATCGTGCAGATGATAGATTTACCCTGAAATCTAGCAAGGGGCCCTGTGCCTTTGAACGAGACGCCCTTGCTTGCGGACCTCACGTCAACACGCCAAGCGAGTTCACCGTATGTATATCCCTAATATTTTTACATAATCTCGTTTCATGTTCTCACACTACATACAGGCCAAGGATGGTAAGCTCGCTTACAGTGATCACACTACTTTCTATGCCGAGAATCCACCCAAGGGGCGTACAAAGAGTACTGTGTATGCTTCGCAAGGGGGGCGACCTATTGAGATCGAGATCACATGGACTTCGAAGTAGATGGTTTATGTTTATTGTATCCCTCGCTATACCCCTAGTGGAAAGTAGGTTGGCCTATTGGGATGTGGCACAGAAATCCCGGCATAGAATGGGGGCGACGGGACTGTTAGTCATTGATTCGTTGGCGCAGAGTAATTATAAATCCCAAATAGAAACACACATTGTCTAGAGTAGGATCTTAGTATGTGTAATTTTCTCTGTGGACAAATATGAGGGTGCGCATCGACAGACTCGAAGGTCACTAGGACCCAGACAACTTGCTCTCTGTCTCCTGGGCTGGCTCTTTTGGGCAGCCTTTATTTTCCTTAAACTGGCATTATTAAGTAGATAGTCCAGCCTACAATTCTACGATCAATAGAGCAACAGACGATATGGAACGGCATGTAAGCCATAGGTATAACAAGTTTGAAACAGTAGAGTACAGGCTATCCTCAATTATGTCTGTCACCGAAGGAAAATAATCCTCCACACAAGCTATCCTTTAACAAGGTAGGTGTACAGAAAAGATTCATTGAAAGTGTAAAGACATCAAATACATATCGCATCATGAACATATAAAAAGAAGGGTAAACACCGGGAATAAGCACGCCGTATATCGAACATCTTCAAAGAGATGAGATATGGCCAAAAGGACGTAAACAAAACCATGAAAAACAAAGGAGAAACATGAAAAACAAGAGAAATACAGGGGGGGAAATAAGGGCAGGGCAAAAAAGCAAATACCCAAACACCCGCAAGTCCACAAAGTGTCAAATCCCGAAATGTGCAGAGAAAGAAAACGCCCGATTTTGTCATGGGTCATTAAAGTGTACAAGGTCGTCCCGTATCGTTGCAAAGAAGTCTCGCCGTGAAGATAAGCCGCGTATGTATCGCCGTGCTCGTTTTTTTTTTATACCAAAAGTAGTTCAAGGGTCCACCAGGAACTCACTGGACAAGCAGTCGATTGGGTCAGTCAGGTCGTCGTCCATGTGGGGAATACCAGAAAAGGTCTTCTCGGGGTAATAGGACGAGACAGAGGCGAAGTCGGTTGTATCCACGAACTGATAAGTCGGAAAACCAGGGATGCCTGAGTGAGCTAGATGACCGAATTCCTCTCGCAGGTCGTCGGAGGGATCTTGAGTCATGAAAATATCGATCTCCGAGCCGACGGATGATTCAGCCAGAGTGGGTGCCGAGCGAGGGGAGGACATCTCCCGAGGCGAGAGAGCAGATTCACTGTAGAGCGATTCCTGCGAATAGGTAGATTCCTGCGAGTATGCCTGGGAACTGAAATTCGATCCGTACTGCGCCATTGCCTGCTCATATCTAGCGTGAGCGAGTTGGGGTGGTGACAAGGGCAGCATGTCATCCTCGAGCTGGGCATCCAGGGAGTCGTAGGTCTGACATGGCGAGGAAATCGTGCGATATCTGTCTCCGGGGGAGGTGGGTGGCGTGAAAGACGAGACGGCAGTGGACGGGGCATACTTGGGCGAGTTGAACACGGGAGCATCTTGCAGAGTGATGTTGGTATTAGCTGAAGCGGCTGAGGTTTTTTCGGCAACACGTTGGCGAGTACGAGTAGACTTGGCCTGGCGGGTGTCGATATCCGGACGGCTGGTCTTCTTCTTCGGGGGACGGCCACGCTTGGTGGTCTTTGGAACCACACCGGTGAATCCTCCAACGCACATATCGCGCTGACGGTGACGGGTCAGGGCATCCTGTCTGGCAAAGCTGGCACCACAGGCACAGGTAAAGGGCTTGTTGCCACTGTGTGTCTTGAGATGGCGCTTGAGATCATGTCCGCGCACAAAGTGCTTTTCGCAAATGTCGCATTTGAATTGACGGTCTCCAAGGTGGGTTTGGACGTGGGATTTGATGTTTTCCTTACGACCAAAGCGGCAAAGGCAGCCCGTAAATAGACAGACCCACTTTCCATCTTTGGGATCGGGGCCGGAGATGAACTTGGCGATTTCGTCAGTCGAGACACCGGTTTGCTGGACTGAGGCCTTGACTCGAGCATCAAGGTCACCATCGTGAACGGTTGGGTCGGTTGGGATCGAGATAGTGGACGGGGCTCGCTTCTTGGATCTGCCAGTGGACGACGCGAATGAGGCATTGGAATTTTGAGGTGTCATCCCATATGAACTCGGGGATGGCATATCGGCAACTTCCGTGAAAGACGAGCTGATCGGGGAATTGACGGGGGAGGGCATTTGCTGCTTAATCTGCACAGAATCGACATAGGGGACTCCTTGCAACGACTGGGCTCTCTGCATCTCAGCAGTGGCAGGGGTATGGGGAAATGAGAAACTTTGGGACTTGGAAGATGATGGGTCATTGCTGTACATGGAATAATCAATAGATCTTTTCAATGGGGTAGAATTGGGTGTCATGGGGGAGTTGTCTGCCATATAATTAGCGTCGGCCGGATGAGATTGAAGCGAAAGTTGCATACAAGCAGTAGACATTTGCGAAAGGATTTTCGCAGATGGAGCCTTTGGTTGAACAGAGACTGGGTGCATTGGACCGGCATAGGCCGTCACCTGCTCATTTTGGACCATTGGTATGTTGCGCTGAGGGAACAAATCCCAATCGGCATTGCTAATAAATTGTTGCTGTTGCTGGTTCGAGAATTGTTCTTGCTGCATACGGTGCAGCGCAAGCTTCAATGGTGTATTTTCGGAGCATTCACTGACTGATCGAGACATAGCCGGGGCACCGACAGAAGAGGGCGAAGGGCTACCAGTGGTGGTGTGAATCGCTTGCAATTGTTCTTGGTTGAAAGCCTCGCAGTCAGACCCGAGCGACTGGTGTGGTTGATATTGATACGGTTGCATGTGCACGGCTGATGGAATGAAAGATCGCTCGGGCTGCTGGGCATAAGATTGATACTGCTGAGAATCCTTCTGTTGATATGAGAAACCTGATTTTTCGTTAAAATAATCTCGCAACTGCGAGACCGTCTTCGGCATGTGTCGGTCCATAGTGGCCTGTTGACTGAAAGAGCTGTAGTCTACAGTCTGGCCTCGACGATGTGACCGACGGGGTTGGATATTGGTCATGACTGGCGCGAGCTCGAATGGAGCCACTGGTGTGGAGATTTGACGGCGGTGACGACCGTTTCCGAGCGCGTTGGAGTTCATGGCTATATTGCCGACAGTTGGTCCTGGATGAGGTGTCAGTATGTGAATCGGAAAGCGATGGGCAATAGGAGGGAAAGAGTTAGAGCCTCGAGCTATTCAAGTCAGGTAAATCAACGTTGCTTCAATTCTGAGCAGAAACGCGAATGTATGAAGGTTTCCAAGGTTTGGTTCTGGAACCCAGATCTATGTAAGACCCGCGGTACTGATCAACAAATCGGGGGTTGGCATAGCAACGGCTCAGCCCGGGCGTCTGGGAAACCAAGGCTCTGACGAAGTGGGTCTTGTCCTTGATTTTACCCTTTTGATCGAGGCCTTACTTAGATTTATCCTTCTTCTGCAAGGACTTGTTATCCCCTGTGTTAAAAAAGGCATATAATTGTACATAGACCTACAAAATTGACAACTCCTCGGCTCGTTTCCGAGGAGATTCAATATAAACAAGTCGATCTCAGATTAGCTCCAAATATGGGCCGGTAGCCCCATTGCGTCATATCGATATCTGATATTCGACCTGTCCAACATGGGATATTATTGTCTACGTACGGCCTTAGGAATGGATTTTTGCCTCCTTCAAGGTCACGTGCTGGTTGACACTGAGTGTTTCTTTCCATCTGCAGGGTAATGCAAAAAAAGAAAAACAATGGCGGCACCCGGAATCGAACCGGGGCTGGTACAGGAGTGCGACCTGAGTCTCCACAATGTAACGTCATACCACTAGACCATGCCACCTATTGGGTGCTGACTTTTTTCTCATCTTAACTTATCACAAAGACCAATAACCTTTCTCTCAACACCTTTTACGACAGCTGTCTTAACACAAAAAAGTTGATGCATTCAGACAATGACGGAGCGTCCACCTTGAGGAGGCACCACTCGGGAAGAGTCAGGAGTCAAGGGTGAAAAGATGTTCACAGATAAAGACGACAGCGTAACGACGTGCACTGAAGCTTGGGTGGTTATAGGTATTACTGAAACTCAGACAAAAAAAAAAGCACCTAGAGAAAGATGCGTGCATACGTGGTAGTAGGTGGTGAAAGTTGAAGGTTTAGTTGTGGTGAGGTGTGCAGTTGGACAGACGCAAACGTTGTCAGTGTACAAAATAGGAACATTTCAAAGAAACACTGGAGCCACCCGGAATCACTGGGGCTTATATAGGATCGATATGCTACCTAACAAAACATACCTGGGAGACAACACAGGTCATACCACTACGGGATGCCATGGCAGCTATTTGGTATGGACTACCAAGGGTTGTATACGCCCATTCGATGCCCCAGTGCATTTGGCCTAAATCTATATCGCTTCTTACACCTCTCTATACGGTGTATTGTAAATCATCGACATATTCTGACACGGAATTGGTCCGGCGAGCCCATAAAACGATGCTTTGTATGTAATACAAGTTTATCTATCACCACATTTCGTGGTTTATTTCTCTCACAATTCTTATATGAACGAAAGCATACCTCTTTTACTATACAGCCTGCAGTATCAAACCTAGGCACAAGCATTCTTATTGCAGAACTTGACGACACACTCCCGCTAGCTGTGATACTCAACTAATATGAATTACTATGTCATTTCTACCATATTCGTAACTCCTATCATGGAGGTTGATATATTATTATGGCATATTGGTTAGCCCTTTGATTTCCTCTCTAGTCAACGATGTCTATTTTGATCTCCAAACCTTCGTCGATGGGCTTCTTTTGAGGCACAACAACAGCAGGAACTTCATCGTAGGATTGTCAGCTATTTGATGGCCGGGCTCCGTTAGGAATACCACGGATGCACCTTCTTTGATGGCAACCTTGATGGAGATATATTTACAGTCGTTCTGTATTGGTATTCGAGGGACCATTCGGCCGAACTTGTACGACAGACCATGGGAAAAAAAGAGAAGAGCGTAGAAAAATCACAGGCTCCATAGCGTTCTTCCATGGCATTCATCCAACAATGTGAGCGGCGCACTTTTAAGTCGGCTGCGCATATGCTAGTGCGGATCCTGATTCACCGCCAACCAAGCCCTCCTATACCATTTCGCGGAGGCCTTTCTTCGACCCAGGATCATTCTATAGGGAGCAGATACTATCAGACCCTGCTGGTAGGCTGCTAATCGCCATGAGGGACTAGACGTGAGGTGAAGACCATTAGCCTGGCTCTTATGTTTCAATCTGCGGTGGAATTGATAAAACATTTTGTGGATTTCCTGGAGGGGTTGAGCATAGCTCGATCGAAGCGACTGCTCCGTCGAAGAGTACCATCACCCGTAGGCACAGGGCTAAGGAACATCCTGTTCCCGATATGGAGCCGGGTCAACTGGATTTAAAGGAACCCAGAGGAACAGGCTTCCTTCGAACGAGACAACCTCTATCTTCGAGATCCTGAATTGGAAAGCGGCCTTTCATAGCCCTAATAATATCGTTTCTCTAAACTACGCTTATATTTTGTCATCTGTAGCCTCCGTTAGTCTACATATCTTTATATGTTGTTCTTGGTTGAGTCTAGTTAATATAGTGACATGGCTTGAGCTGCCACAGGAGATCTGATGTGTTAACTGTGTTAACACAAGATAGACCACAATGTGTCGTCATATCACTAGACCATGACACCTATTTTATGGAATGGGCACCAGATTATAACTCCATCAAGTCGAGAATAGTTAGCAAAAATGGGTTACCTAGGGAACACTTAACTACAAATCTGAAAAGAGGTGACCCTAGCTAGTCCTTATACGATAAGAATCCTCCTACATACAAACTTAAGATATAGCATATAAATCATTATTAACAAAGGCATAAAAAAAGAAGTAGACGAAGTACGGAATCGTAAATCACTGATAGAGAGAGAGAGAGACAGAAAAAAAAAAAGATGGCGCCACCCGGAATCGAACCGGGGCTGGTACAGGAGTGCGACCTAAGTCTCCACAATGTAACGTCATACCACTAGACCATGGCACCCAACTTGATGAAATAACCATCATATTACAAATTCATAAGCTAACCTTCGCTTATGTAAAATCTTCTTTCGACTTGAAAAGATCCAAAAATTATGCAAGATTTTCATTCGGGCTAGTCCCATTTCGGAAAATGGGCCACTCACGTGATCACACAACCATTTTAATCACCAACCGGCTTCCGCGCACAACGATCTTCTTTAATCTTGTAAGGTTGAGGAAGACACGACTGTCGAGGTGAGTTTTTGTCCTATGCAAGCAGATGGAATTGTGATGGGCATGCGCAACTAGTTCGCAGTCTATTCATTCTCTGCCTGCCACATTTTTATCGCGACCATCCCACTGACTTTTCTTAGGCCTTCATCAAGATGCAGATCTTCGTCAAGACCCTTACGGGTAAGACTATCACCCTTGAGGTGGAGTCCTCCGATACCATTGACAATGTCAAGTCCAAGATCCAGGGTAAGCACAACCGAAATCCGCGAGCAGCGATCGCGCACACGCACATGATTCTCTCTAGAAAAATTCCGGCACTAACATTTCACTAGACAAGGAGGGTATTCCCCCTGACCAGCAGCGCCTGATCTTCGCTGGTAAGCAGCTCGAGGATGGCCGCACTCTCTCGGATTACAACATCCAGAAGGAGTCGACCCTTCACCTCGTCCTCCGCCTGCGTGGTGGTGGTAAGAAGCGCAAGAAGAAGGTCTACACCACCCCCAAGAAGATCAAGCACAAGCACAAGAAGACCAAGCTCGCCATCCTCAAGTACTACAAGGTTGACGGTGACGGCAAGATCGAGCGTCTTCGCCGCGAGTGCCCCGCTCCCGAGGTATGTGATCCCCCTATTGTTTTAGGACAATACCCTTGGATCCCATCAACAGAAAACTAATTCTCTCTTCTAGTGTGGTGCCGGTGTCTTCATGGCCGCTATGCACAACCGCCAGTACTGCGGTAAGTGCCACCTCACCTACGTCTTCGACGAGGCCAAATAAATGGTCTAAGTCGGACCGTGGTGTGCTGTCACCGAGCTTAGACATAGTTTTGCTACGCCGGGCCAAGTGATGGAGTGTCACGGTTGACGCTGGTTGATGATGGTTGCTTGGAATACCCATGTACTACAGTCAATTAAAAAAAACTAGGCATTCGCCGAAAACTCGACATCCCACGTAATAATATACTCGTATGTATTCGTAGACTTCAATATTCACATCTCGTGTACTCAACTGTCCTGCCAATGGTAATGCACAACATCGTGCAAGCTTTCACCTACTGGTCGGGGAAGCCGGCTTTGAGGTTCTCATACTTACTCTCGGGGTACGCAAGGGCATTAGACGCCTGATCCAAAGCGCCTTCACCACCCACCCCATTGACAAAGATACCGATCAAGCTTCCCTCTGCCGGATTAGCGTCCTTCCCGCCCTTATCACCGCTACTCTCCCACCACATACCACCACCGAGCCCGCGATCGCGAATATAGTTCGCCTTGAGCTGCGCCACATGGGGCGTGTCGTAAGAAACCATCGTGCGCGAACCGCCATCATAGCAGTACGACGCACCAGATTCCTCGTCGAACTTCTCCTCGGCCCCGGGTCTGGGCAGCGCCTTGTAGTCCCACACCCCGTTCTCCCAACTGCCCTGTCCGACCCCGTTGAAGGGGGCACCGGGTCCATCGGTATTCTCGAATGCACGTCCGTACAGTGGCATGCCCATGACGATCTTTGAGGGTGGGACGCCGCCGTCGTTGATGTAGTAGTTTACAGCAGCCTCGATTGAGAACGGTGTGGATGCTGGGTTGGAGGCTGAAGGGGAGATGTTCGCTTGGTGGCCAGCGTTGCTGTCCCAGCTTCCAGCGAAATCGTATGCCATGAGGTTGTAGAAGTCTAGCACTGGGGTCATCTCTTGGAATTTAAGCTTCTCGTAGTTGCTCGCGCCTGTGACAGTCAGTTTTGATAGTTCGCAGTACTTTTCCATCGCCGGGAATATGGTATGGACATACCGGCAGGGCAGGCGATTGTCAAGTAGAAACGGCGATCAGAACCAGCCTCTCTGTCAAGAACCTATTTGCGGTCAGTTTGGTCCAATTCAAGTTAGGCGAACGACATACCTCTCGGCACTTCTGGAGCAAGAGAACTAGATTCTGAGCCTCGGTTTCATCTGGGTATATAGTGAGCCTCGTACTTCCATCGAATATATTTTGACAAACTCACCCTTGGGGTATTCCCAATCGATATCAAGACCTACAAAGGAGTCAAAATCAGCATTGTACAGAGTACCTAACCGATGAAACATACCATCGAATCCCAGATCTAGAACCAGACGTGTCGCCGATTCGGCAAATTTAGTTCGACCCTCATCGGTGCTTGCAGGCTGTGGGAAATTCGCCGAGTACGTCCAGCCACCGATAGAAAGCAAAACCTTCAGCTTGCGGTTCTGCTTCTTGAGCAGGAAGAGCTGCTTAGCACATCCGTACACATTGTCGCCGACGTCATTCCACGAATCTGTCGGGTAATGCTTCTCGACATCGGACCAAGAGTCGGTCAAGTATCTGCAGTTTTGAGTTAGGAAATCTTCTGCAGTCTGTAAGGATCAACAAAACCTACACTTCACCGCTTTCAGGACGAATGTTCGCAAATGCATACAGAATGTGTGTCAGCTTCGCCGCGGGCAGATCCTGTGGGTTATAGTTGCGGCCGTAAATTGCCTATTGGGTATGTCAACAATGGTACTTTTTTTCGATATATATGTCCAACTATAGTTAGGCATAGTAAACTGGACGCGGGTCATGCAGTCGACATTGAAATGACATAAGCAACATTAAGCACATACCCAGTTGACAAAGTATGCGACTGATTTGATCTCAGACATGGTTGCAGATTGGTTGAAGTGTTGCAAGAGAACAGCCACAACAGTAAATAAGGTAATGAGCTTGAGTTGATAAGCCACAATTCGAAGTCAAAAGAAAGTTATATCAAGTTTCAGAAACACTCACAGGCAAGTATTTCTAGGGGTACTTAATGTCGCAGCCTAATTGTTAGTGCACTGTTGTATCGGCAATCCCAACGCCACGTCATTGGTTGGAACTCACATGTGGCGGTGTATACCAAGGCACCAAGGCACCGATCGTGGATTTATAAATAGAAAACGATATTCGAGATGATATTGCAATCGAAGTTATAATCTGGAGACCCTGGAGATTATATGTATGTTACTAAATGTCCAAAAGGGTCCAAGAAAAACGTGGTGCGTGACACCTCCGCCTGTTCAAGGTGCATGTAACCTCATTCTTGGCCAATCCCTAATGTGTTTCACGTAATAGCGTGTTAGGTTATTGGTTTTTGAGTTCACATCTTGTGGAAGCACAAGGGAATATCAAGTACTCGTGATGTTGAAGAATGCTACCCTAGGCAAGAATGAGAAATGGCCCGCCTGAAGGGGGCAATACGACGTGGAATGATGACTGGCTACATGACCATGAGAACTCCATTGTTCATTATATTGATTGTTAAGCTTGGAAGGTCTTGAATATTTTGAAGCCCAAAAATCTCATGGGAAGTATCTCAATGCGAAAAAAAAAAAAAAAGCTCAACATTAGCCTTTAGAGCTACAAAATACCCTCGATATATAAAGCATTGGTCAGGCGACTCATGTCAAATATATCCACACGGGGAATCGAGCATGGCCCCGACTCTTTCGGCAGTAGATCGACCGAACCCGTGGCAAGTGACGACCTCAAGCCGAAGGGTGTTTGGAGAATCGGCATTCGCGGGTAGTGATCTTAACGTAGCGAGTGATATACAAGGATCGACCGAGACTACACGTGGACTCAGGGTTCAACATCCTTCCTGATCATGAGATGATCATCAAACCTATAAATCAAGACTTCAACATGGCTCATGATCTCCAAGTATACTTGGCCTCAACGCAACCCATCTAGTTGCCCTATATTTATTCCCTATGGTATCATATGAGTAGATCTATGTATGTCACTGTTATCCACAACGATATTGAACACACTCGGAGGTCGCCGAAGAAATAGAAATCAATACACAATGATCGACAAAGCATTTTTATCCATGCCCCACGTCATAATTTAATGCCGTCACGATGCAACAAGCTGCAATGGCCGAGAAGACATCTAGAAAGCGAAACGTATAGGAAATGATCCGAAACCCCACTGTTGATTTAACGGGAAATAAAACGTGGGAATTACCCATTCAGAACAAATCAAAAGAAAGGAAAAGAAACCGTCGCCTGGAAAGCCAGTCCATCCATAGCTGAACTCGAGCCGCGATATGCTCGTTCGTAGCTTTGATTGGATCTACATAGCTGAACTAACGCCCTTGGCTTCACAAGCCGTGTCCGAAATTTCTAGCGATCCAGATCCACTTTGATCTATGCAACGTTTTTTTTTTTTATGACCTTTCACTCTGGGACGGTGGATCTTTCAGCTGGTATCTCTGCCTCGGCGCCCCAGGTGTCTGGTCCATGTGTTAATTGCCGACGTCTCTATCTTTTCTGTGCATGTAGTCCCGGAGAGCAAATTTTATACACATATTCTGTGATTGTGGGGCCATTAGGGCTATTTGTACATGCATTCACCCAAGTACTCCATATTATACATATTGCCTAGTCTAGAAGAATTAGAGTCTATATTGAACAGTGTAATGGAATTTGATTTTCAAAAGTCTTATAACACCACAAACAGAAATACCCCCCGGAAAAAAGAAAACAAGAGGGGATATCGTAGCTATAACCAAAACCACGCAATAAATCCAAACTCATTTTGTGTTTTGCACAGAAGGCCGATGGTACTCACGACCAGCGTTATACCCGCCATTCACGCAAGCCCCTCTATTAAAAGAATCATATAAAAGCCCCCAAAAGGCTCACAAGGACTTGAGAATCAGTAGAAGGCAAAACCCGAAAAACCCCCTACCCAACCCGAGGCCACATGCAACATGCAACATGCATTCATTTCCATTTTCGTTTCATATTCTCATCGCCGATGCGATTACCGGCCTCCAACCCAGCGACGAATGACATCCAAGGACGGATCATCATCAACCCAGTGACCAGCGCGCAGATCAGCTGCTCGTAAGTCCGCAACGACATGCTGGTCCGTGAAACGGGCCAGATCTTGATGGAGGGTGGCTGTTGCGCTCTTGAGGGCTGCGACGTGTTGGGCCATTGCCTGGGAGCCACGTAGAATGCCGGCGCGCGTCATGGCCCATCGTCTGGCTGCGGCGGCGCGAAGGTAGATCTTGTGCGCTTGGAATCGGCGTGCACTGCCGTCCAGTATGACTCTGCGGGAAGACTGTTAGCGTGTCTTGATATGACCGGAGAGGCTGGGGTTGGATAGTGTATATACCTCTGTAGCTCGGCTTTCTCGGTCTCGACATTCCCTTGCCCTGTTACCGGACAGGGTTGGTAGTTGGCGGACATTAGGGCCTGGGCTGAGGCTAGGGATTCGCGAAGTATTACGAAACCATCTTCCCAGTATTCTTCTTGGGATGGTTCGACATGTTGTTGCGAGATGTGGAGTAGGAGAGTGCGGTAGTCGTTGATTATCTCGGCGACTCGCATAGCGCGAGCTTGATTGACTGCATGGCTTAGTAATTTGATGATTGGTTGATATGATGGTCAGCTTACATCCGTCAGCCATATTTTTTGGTATATTAGTATATAAAAAGGTAATTGATCAGATGGACGAGTAGAAGGTTAAATGATAAGTATAAAAAATGGGTATCAATAACCTATGAGAGACGAAAGGAAGGTAACGGTCAGAGGAACTGATGATCCATGTAGTCGAGAGTGTTAGGCCACCAACAGTTGGGGGGACAGGGTAGATATAAGTTGGAGATGGTGTTTCTCCTTACCCCATACATGACAACTCCGAATAGGACACAAAATAATAATAACACAAAACCAAAGATTTATCAGCCCTTGACGGGGCCGACCTCAGGATACATCACCATCGAGAAGATGGGGCTGCACCAATAGACGGTCAAGATGCCACGATCAGAGAGTTCGGATTGTC